TTTAGAAAGAATGTCTGCAGGATAAGCTACGATAATTGACTTTAGATAAAAATTAACAAAATAGTGGTTATTTGAAAAAAATTTCGATTTTTTTACCTTAAATTGTTCTTGCTTTTGCGATAAAAAAAGTATCATTGATATTGATATAATTGTAGTCTGTCCAGTAGAAAAAAAAACATTGTTCTACAATCGTGCAAAGCGATAGGTTTAATAGTTTTTGTTCTATCATTTCTTTTAGATTGAAAAATGTTGTTTTGAGAAAATGCGTTTAAAATTTCACGTTTACTTTTTTTATTATTTATGCCTATATTTGCCACGTTAAGGGCAAACACAACATTTTACACACCTGGGGTTATCAATTATGTAAAAAACAATGTTTTCAATTTTGTGATTTCAGCAAGATAGAATGAACCCTTAAATATTTTATTGTATTAATAAACAGAGCTTTCTTTTTAATAGGATATATGGCGAGCACGATTTTCTGCCATTACAGAGAAAGATATAAAATCTGCTTTGGCCAATCTAATAAAGCCCAATGAAAACGAAGCGAAAAGTGTTGATGCACGTCAGGAGTTAGATTTGCGAATAGGCTGTGCATTTACTAGATATCAAACTAAATTTTTCCAAGTATATCACAATTTTTGCCTTGTTATATTTTAAATATCTCAGAATACATATGAATGTTACTTTTAGGGCAAGTATGGAGATTTAGATGTATCTCTTATTTCTTATGGTCCGTGCCAAACGCCAACATTAGGATTCTGTGTACAGAGACACGATGAAATTCAAACTTTCAAGCCAGATCCATATTGGGTATTGCAGGTAACTATATTTTGAAATTCCTATACAAACATTTTTCTTATATTTTCTTTCTATTTAGATTTTCTTTTATCTATATGACAATGTTAAATGAAATATTATCTTTTTGTTACTTTGAGGTAACTGTCAAGTCTCCTGATGGTCAAGATATTATATTAAATTGGAATCGTGTACGTTCTTTTGATAAAGAAGTTGCAAGCATGTTTTTAAGTCATGTTAAAGAATATGATCAAGCAACGTGAGTTGTACAAATGTTTAAATGTTTAAAAATCTTAATATGTTGGAAAAACTACATCATTCGAAATAAATTGTGTATAGCGTAGTGAGTGTACAAAGTACAGAAAAATGCAAATCGCGACCTATAGCGTTAAATACAGTAGAGCTGATGCGAGTCGCCAGTTCTGGATTGGGTATGGGTCCACAGCACGCTATGCAAATTGCAGAAAGACTTTATACTCAAGGTTACATAAGTTATCCACGAACAGAGACAACATCGTATCCTGAAAATTTTGATCTGCTGTAAGAATCTTACTGCTTGATTATTTAATGGTTATTTTTAATTTGCGCATGTATGTATCATACTTGATATTACAATAATTTTCATTTTATTCAAGTTCAACATTAAAACAACAGCAGAATAGTTCGGAATGGGGCGAAGAAGTTCGCAAGATAATAGCAGCTGGAATCAATAGACCAAAGAAAGGCCACGATGCAGGTGATCATCCGCCTATAACGCCTATGAAACATGCAACCAGAAATGAACTCGATGGTGATTTGTGGAGATTGTATGATTATATAACGCGACATTTTATTGCTACGGTATGTTGAAAATTGAGATAATTGAGATAAGACTTTGAAGTGATCCTTACTTACATTATTATATATATATGTATTTTTTCTTCCCATTTCCCTTTCTCTCTCTCTCTCTATTTTGATTTTCGAATCGTAGCTGGCACGGGATTGTAGGTACTTGAGTACTACGGTAAAATTTGAGATAGGCATGGAAATATTTACAGCTACCGGTCACAGTCTATTAAGTCCTGGCTACACGAGTCTTCTTACTTGGCAAGCACTTGGTAATAATGATACTCTGCCGAAATTTATATCCGATGAGAATGTAAATATACAAGAGGTAAAAATTATTTTTGTTACATTATATTTATTTGCTTGTATTTTTAGCCACACGTAATTCAAACAGAAAATATTATGTAAAATGACATGTAGTGTAGAATGTCCTGTTTTATTGTTATAGGCCAAATTAGTTGAATGTTATACACAACCACCAGATTATTTAACAGAGGCAGAATTAATATCTCTCATGGAAAAACATGGCATTGGAACAGACGCTTCGATTCCTGTACATATAAATAACATCTGCATTAGAAATTATGTTACTGTTGCAGCAGGCAGAAAATTAATACCTACTTCTCTTGGTATCGTTTTGGTCCATGGATACCAAAAGGTATCTTTGATTTCATTTTTTCTATCTGACACAATGATAAATTTTGTATAAAACACACATGTGTCCCCTTTACATTAGATAGATCCTGAATTGGTTTTGCCCACAATGAGATCTGCAGTAGAAGAACAATTAAATCTAATAGCCTTAGGTCGAGCTGACTTTCATGCTGTACTACAACATACCGTAGAAATTTTTAAACAAAAATTTCATTATTTTGTACAAAGTATAGAAGCTATGGATCAGTTGTTCGAAGTGTCGTTTTCGCCGCTATCAGCTTCCGGCAAAGCACACTCCAGGTAAACAATTATCAAAAAAGAACAAATAATATAATGGAATAACAATTATATTCATCCTTTGCTTTGTACAATATTCCACTATATTATTTGCTCTTTTTTCGATTTCTTGTCATTGATATATATTGCTATATATTGCAGATGTGGTAAATGTCGTCGATACATGAAATACATACAAACTAAACCGTCTAGAATGCATTGCGCTCATTGTAACGAAACTTACAATTTACCACAAAATGGGAATATACGAATATATAAAGAATTAAAATGTCCATTGGATGACTTTGAATTACTTTCATGGTCGACTGGAACACGAGGAAAAAGTTACACATTTTGTCCATACTGTTACAACAATCCACCATTCAGGTATGTTTACACAGTTGTATGTATTGTATTGTAATTGAATTTAAGTATAAAGAAAGACTGAATATTCTTTCAAATTTAGAGATATGAAAAAAGGCATGAGCGGTTGCAATTCATGCACGCATCCGACATGCCCGCACGGTATGAATTCAAATGGCTTGTCCAGCTGTTTGGAATGCGATCTAGGTATACTTGTACTCGATCCTTCGGCCGCACCTAAGTGGAAATTAGGATGTAATCGTTGCGATGTTATTATCCATCTATTTGAGAACGCGCATAAAGTGACAGTTGATACAGATACGTGTGATTGCGGTGCACAGTTAGTAACTGTTGAATACAAACAGGTGAGGAAGCAGTATTTATTCTGAAACGAACATGAAACTGCTACTATTTTTTTTGGTTTCAGGATAAAAGTAAGCTTCCCAACGAAGTGACCGAAATGTCTGGTTGTGTGTTTTGCACCCCAGCTTTTGCTGCATTAGTAGAAAAGCATCGTGCAGTAGCTTCGAAACCAGTCGTCACGCGTGGTCGAGGTCATGCCAAGAGCCGTAACCGAGGCAAACCTAAACCACCAAAGGACAAAATGGCACAATTAGCAGCATATTTCGTATAATGTGAATCGTTTAGAGCTGCATAATAGAAAGTCATTTATTGTGTGTATCTCGTCTCATTCTTTGATAAATCTCTATCATAGCATTTTATAACATTTTATAAGAATGATGGTAATGATTAATCATTTTCATGCTTTCTATTAAATAATAGAATCTTACAATATATTAGTTACGCATTTTGTAGAACAATGTATTTTATTAAAAAAATTTGACAAGTTTTGAGGAAAATTCTAATTCATGGGCAAAATATTAAAAATTCTTGATAAAAGTTTATATGTTTAGAAGGTTTAGAGTGTAAGATTTATTTTTAAATAGAAACAATCATGAAAGAGATACGGAGCAGTTCGAACATGATTCTATAATTTGAAATCTTTAAAAAACTTTATAAAAAGAAAGAATACTGCTGTAATTTTATTTTATTGGAATATTAAAAAAGTTCCAACTTTTTTTATGATTATATTTGTTAAACGTTTAAAGAATATAATTCATATAGAGAGATATGTTTAAAACTTAACTTGATTTTTATTTAAAATTGTGATTTTAATGTTATCATCTGAGTTTGATTATCAATAGAAATGATAACTTCAGAAAAAAAAAATTGTAATTTTTCGGCAATACATAAACTATTAGCATTAAAAGTGCTATTTATTTCTATAATGGTGTAGTGAGAAAAATGTTTCGGGAGGAACATTTTTTTAAATGTTCTTTTTTATACTAATGACATTTAGTAAGTATAAACAAAAAAAGCAAAAAAGTTATGATAATTTATATATAATTTATGTCGTTGCAATCGCAACGCGTCGAACATATAAATTGTCATAATTTTTTTACTATTCAAAGATTTAAACTTTCCAGAAAACTTCTTCAAATATTCAATTACAATGTAGCATTAATGAAAATTTGTAATTTGAAAATTCGTAACACAACTTTAATATTTGAAACAATTCACTAAACTCGACAAAATATTAAAAATTCACCATTTTGTCATAAAGCTTCGAAAATTTCGAAATAGTTTTTTACAAGTCGCAGAATACGTCAAAGATTACAGTGTAAAAATTTGAATAATAAATATTAATATCCGACTGAGATTTCGTGAGTTGAAGTGCTGCCGTTCTCTCAACGCCACTTTTTAACAGCAATATTTTTTTTCGTGTAATTTATCGAATTTTTATTTACGTGTCAAATACAAACGAAAATCAACAAATATATTTTTAATACATATAAATATATTTTTGCAACTAAATTAAATATGAGAACTATCCCAACAGAATTTAATTTCTTCTCTCAAAACAAATTTACAATTACAATTTGATATTTACGACTCAACAATACATATTCTTATTGAAATTATTGAAATTATTTAGAATTTCGAGGGCTATAGCCTCCCCCCTTGTCTACAGCATTTATATAATAAAGAGTATATGGTCAACGCGATGTTGCAAACGCTTTAAAGCGCGTTTTTTAATTGATCAGTTTGTAAAATTCTTTTTTCTAATTGGTCCATCAATTGTCATTTGTAGCGAGATTTTGATCACAACCTAAAATCACGAATTTAAATTTAATAAAAAATCGAACAGCCTAAATGAAATGGTACTTGATTCTCAGACACCCTCTGGTGGTAAGTCTTCCAAAATTAGTTTGATGGAGGTTAGTCGGACCTATATACTTTTAACATCATAATTTATTTCAATCACAGAGAAACGCTTCACCTTTCTTCTGAATTCTGAAAGTTATAATATTGCGTTTACATTTTTATTTATCATGGGTTTGTGTAATATCGAATGTATAGAAAGAATAGCGCAATATCTCGATGTTTCTCCAGGAAAGTTGCAAGTTTCTGATAAAAATGTGAGTATTAAATTATTTCATAAAAATGTCTTGCTCCACATATTTATCCGGTATCACTTATGTGCACACGTATAAAATTATTTAACTGTAAATGTGTTCAATAATGATAATATTTCATTATATTAACAATATATGTTATATTAACAACATAATTATACCGAATATAACATATGTTCAATGGAAAATGTGTATAGATTTATATTT